CTCACCCTTGGAGAAAGTGTTGGAGCGATTGTCAACGTCCTCGAGCAAAATGCGCTGGCCCATGAAGGTTGCTATGTCTTGCGAGGCGACAATTTGTCAGGTCTGCAGCTGTTGCATGCCCCAAGCGGGCCCTGGCGGACGAGACATCTTCGGCTCCGCAGCCACGTTTTGAGGGAACGGTTGCAGATGAAGCTGTGGCATGCAGAGCACATCCCTGGCGCTGACCTATGCGCCGACCTGTTGACCAAGGCGATCACTGCGCCTCGGAGCTGGGAATCATTCGCTTCTACGGTGGGGCTTGTGTCGGTGGAGCCGGAGGCGTCTGCGGAGGACCCTGCGCTTTCTCGCTTGAAGAAGTTGGCGCTGGGTGCGGCGGTGGCGTTGGGACTGTTAGTGGTGGCTCCAGGCCTGGGCACTGCGGTCCGAGCGGCATCGGTGTGCGGCTTGGCAGCGTTGACGGCATTTGTACACAAGAAGTGTTCGAAGACGGCAGATGGCCAGTCAACAAAGAGGTCTAACGCATCCCATTCAAAAGAAACATCAAGATGGTCGAGGGAAAATGAACCCGGCCCAACATCAAGATGGTCGTGGGAAAATGAACCCGGCCCTATCGAATGCGGGAGGAGTACAACCTATAGAACCTCCCCGCCCGTCGATCGCCCGACCTCGTTCGACTGTTGCCGGACCGGCACCCCGAGGGTCACCAAGGGTTTTGTTTCGCCTTGCAGCCATGGCCGAATGCGGATGTGCGCCATGAAAGCGCCGCCGACAAAACCGCCGCCTAGGCATGTGGGCTTGGGAACGGATGAGCCTTGGGAGCTTGCTCGCTTCATGTCGCCGCCGACTGGCCTGGACCGGTGGGAATGCCTTGGATGTGGCACAGCCAGTGGTGATTGGTGGGTGAGGGTCCTCAAGAGGCCTAGGGTGCGGCAGTTCCATCCGCTCCACAGGAGAACGCCTGTTTCGATCGGACGTCTCTCGCCAACCCGGATCACTGTGGCCTTCAGCCGGGGGAGCACAAGAGAAGCCTGGCGTCGACGATGCATCATCGATGACTGGGTGGAGAACAGAAATTCGGATGTCAGAGACTGCTATGAATGGTGTGGCTACACGTTCTTCTTCGAGAAGTTTGGCCCAGAGGCTGGTGCTGTGGAGGGTGAGGAAGCGCTGTCTTCGCAGGCTCAAATGCCGCTGCGGCCTGGAGCTGTAGGATCTCAACCCCGTGAAGGGTATGGAGGTGATGGCGGCACCTCTTCGCATGCTGCGGAGAGGGGTCGGAAAGCTGTGGAGGCCTTAACTGGCACTTCATTTCAGATGTCACGTGCCTATGACGGCACGGCAATCACTGCACGAGTCAATGTGACCTTGGAGGGTGTCCCCGCGAGCGGCTATGAGGCAAGGCGCCTTGGGTGCTTGAAAAGGGGAGAGATCGGGCCGTCCGCTTCGTCGAGGGCGGTGGACCTGAATGAGGAGGCTTGGAGGGTCTCGCTGGAGAGTGAGCGGTTAAGTCCGCCGGAAGCTGATGATCTGCCCATTTGGATGGGCGTTGAGACGCCATTTGTGAGGCCTCCTGGCCTAAGCCACGACAGCGAAGACTCGCGGTCGGTTGGAAGCTTTGAACTTTTGGGTGACGCTGCAGAAGAAAAAACCTGCAGTGGATCCCAATGAAGCCATGTATGCTGGCACCTTTGACCAGCATAGGGGGAGTGTGAGTGGAAAGGCACACGACCCAAAGCATACCTTTTTTCGTGAAGGTCATGAACACCTGAAAAGGTGAACCACCGGTCAAAACGACCTGCGTTTGGCTCAAGGAACAACGTGAGCGGCTGTTTTTTGTCGGTCGCTCTTGAGGCTTTTTCCATAACCACAGCTTCAAATTCATGTGCAGCACTAGTAACAGGTGCCACGCTAGTAGTAACAGGTGCCTTACTAGTAGTAACAAGAAGCTATCAGTAACAAGTGCCTTATTCAGCTGCTTTCGGCGGAATGACAAAGCCAAGGGTCCACATCATGAGACGTGGCACCGTGGAGCCGGAGTGCCTTGACACCTGATCTACGGGCGGCCGGAAGGAGATTGCGTGGTTTGCAGGCGATCAACGCCACAGAACATGCAACATCCAGCCGCACAGACTTGGAGCAGTGACCCCAGGGTTGCGACAAAAAAAGGCAATTGTTTCAACCATTGTTTCTGCTCGCCACTGCTCAGTTGCTGGGCATAAAGGCTCATCGCTGCATGTTTGCCATCGCCCTTGCAGGCTCCTTCAACTAGTTTTACCGCAGCGCCTTGCCGTCTCATTATGTGAATGTGTGTGTGTGTGTGTCAAGTCCTGTTCCTAAGGACCTCCTGACCGTTTGACACAACCAACAAATTGGCAACAAGTGCCACGCTACTAGTAACAGGTGCCTTACTAGTAGTAACAAGAAGCTTCTTATTTGCTGACTTTTGACACTTCTCGCACAGATCAGGTAGCCAGGACTCCCTGGTGCGCGTCCTGGCCAATGAAGACCGCGCACCAGGGAGGTGTAAACGTACCTGCTGTTGTTTAAGTGTTGATTGGTTGCTGTGGTCCCTTGGTTTGTTTCATGGTGGTCATGTACCTGATGTTGATCCAGAATGTTTAATCCATTCTAAAGGTTCGGTTCTCTGACCCAGCATTCTTGCAGTTACCTCAAGCCAAGGGCTAAGAAGTCATTGAAAGTGCTAGCTTTCAGTGAAATGTCATAACTGATACAGCTCTTGCGAGCATGGATCTAAGTGTTTGCCGTAGCCCTTGCAAGCCCGTTCAACACCAAGTGCACAAGATGAATGTTCTCAACCTCATCAGCGCCCGCTCGATCTAGCTTTGCAAGTCTTCAGGGACAGAAGGCAAAGCAGCCTCCTTCGAAGGTCAAGGTGCAGCACCTCTCCAGCTCCACCAGCCAAGCTCGCCAGATTTGACCAGTTTTATGCGGCTGGTGCACTCTTCAACTCGTGCTGGCTCTCTCAGTCTAAGACCCGCATAAGTCGCGATTTATGATACATTGCTCGGCCCTTCGGTTTTTGCTTTGATGGCTTGCTGCATGCTCTGGGCTGGGTAGCGGTGAGCTAGCCCGTGTACAATCCGCTTTGGCATGAACCGGCTTGTTTGGATGCTCCATGGTGCTCCTACATTGTGGCATCTTGACTAAGTCGGCCCATGGATTCACATCGTGGTGTCCACCAAAATGAGAGATGCTGGCGCGGGCACTTCCACACACCATGGTGTGGTGGAAGCAGCTGCGGAATGGGACCCAGTGTGAGCTTGACTTCCCAGCCTGATTGCAAGCCATCCCGAACCCTGCCAAATCAACAAACATGTCTCCTTTAGACCCTTAAACTACCCGAGCAGCCACTCCATCGACGGCTCTGGTCGTGACTAGCAGCATGCAAAAATTGCGCCCAAAGTTTAAACAGCCAAGCCCACTTTCTCAAGGCACATCAGGCCGAGGAGCCCATCAACATGTGTCGATGTTAACTAAGCGGGCAATTTGGCCTATGTTTGGACACTGGGTCTTGCAAACCACAACTGCGAAAGAAAAACACGGACTTATCCTTCAGCGTCGCTGTGCACAGGAAAGCTTGCTGGGGGGCAGGGGGCCACGCAACTCTGCATTCTGCCTCTTGGGAAAGCAAGAGGCGTGGAGAGCCTTTTGCCCCTTGGCAGGCTTTCCGAGACAGCTATCCACAAGCAACCATAACAGGCAAGCAAGGTAGACACCATCACAGGACAAAGGTTCTGCTGGACAAAGCACCGCCCTTGAAGTTTCCGGGGCGTTGCTGCCGCAATGCCACCCTGTGCAGCATTCACCATCGACACTACCACTGGGGATTGCTCAAAGCAAGCCCTGACTGATTGGTTCACAAGAGCCAGCATCCACAGCGCCAATGACCACACCCATGACCACACCCATGCATTTTTTTTACAGCAAACATGCCTTCGAGGTCCTTTCCCATGCCTTCGAGGCACACTGCAAGGATCACTAGCGCCAAACCGCCACGTCCATGACGACATTGTAACATGATTCACGTGAGACATTGCTTCTAGTGCATCTCTGCACTTGGTTGGCATCCAAGGTCGGGCAAGACTGTCCGTCTTTCTAACACTGTTAAGAAAATGCCATATAATGTGATTGCTCAGATTTTGTTTGCACTATTGTTTATGCTTGCGCTGGCCTACAGCAATTGAGTTACAAACAGCATGATCAATGCGCAGTATCACAATCCACTGCAATCAATAAAAACCTAACCACTCCGGCAGGCAGGGTGAAGTTGGTGAAGTTGTTTGCAAACGAAGTGAGGTTTCAATTTTGGGGTTTTGGTGCAGCAGGGCTTGAGATGGCCAAAACACATCATCATGACCCACAACACACATGCTCTAGATTTTTCCACCCAGGCACGCGTGACACCACGCCGGAATTGCTGAAATGCTTCTGCCGAATCATCGCGACTGTGCCCAACCTGCCAAGAATGAACACAACCAACACAACTCAATGAAACGGAAAAGTGAGTCAACAAAACCACCCTATAGATCCCTATAGTGGCCTAGTGCTGGTGCTGAATCGTTGGATCCGTCTTCACATGCCGTGCGATCGGAGAAAAAAAAACACCAAAGTCGGTGGCATCCGAATGGCACGCGGATGCATGCGGTATAAGCACGCCTTGAGAATGGCGCAATGACCTTCAGTGATCAATCGCTTCGTCTCCGCCGCTGAAGCGGCTTCCATGGCTGCCATGGCTCATCGGAACTCGAACAACAAACTTGGAAAAGCAGGAAGAACAATTCGAGCCACTGAGCCACAGAAATCAAGATGTTTGTCAAGTTCTCAGCTTCGTAAACTCATTTTCTATCCACACTGTACCCACGCTGCAAAATACATATTGAAACTGACGACATTGCAAAATACAAGTTTTCTCAGTTGGTTTTGCATCTTCGGAAAAAATCACAGAAACTTGCGACAATCCCTCAACTCGGCTGCCCGGCCATTCTAGGACGTCCCACTCTGATCCCTCGACCTTGCAAAAACTTCAACAACCTAATACACCCTAGTAGCGATGACCTCCCCCTAATAGCGACGCCCTCCAACCTAGCGACCCTGTGCACATTGATGAACTCAAGTTTTGATGTCCCCAAGCTTAAAATATCGAAGGGGCATTTTGCAGGTCGCAGTCTGCAGCTTTGGTTACTGGATGTTTCTGGTCATCTGCTCCTCTGCCGCTGCTGCCGTCGCTGCCGCTGCTCTGCTACTCAGACTTAAAAGGGTTGCCCGGAAGGGAGCGTATACAGAGTTATCTGAGCACTTTACAATTAGTTGCGCCACTCACTTCAAGAATCCTCCATGAAACGGCGTCTAGCTGTGGCTTGAAGTGAAAATCACCCCGGCAAAAACAAGACATTGCTCGAGACAACTTGAGCAAAGCTGGGTAGATAGCTTATCAATGACTTCTGTTCCTTTCTCATTGATGTACGGGAATTGTTGGTCGTAGATACGGCTGTCTTCATGTTGTTTGGGCCTTGTGGAAGCATGTTGGCATAAGGATGGCCGAGTGGCCGCTTCCGCGATTTCCGACAGTCCTCATGTGCCAAAAAAAGAACGCTCAGCGATGCATTTCTGAAGGGGTCGGGTGGAGATTGGACCTTATAGACAGACGTTGGCTCCGTGCAAGACTAGGTTTGGCACAAAAGCTTGACCAGATTTCAGACGCCTATCGCGGCATATTTGCCAAGTGACAGGTACTTGAGAGAGGCTTAAGAAAAGTGCTGGCCCTTAACCCATCCGACCCAACAATGATCTACATCCCAATATCGCACACCTACCACAACACTCCGGCCCCAACTCTTCGACATCATCGATGCCATGTTTCATCCAACCAATTTCTAAGACTGCATGTTTCAGGTGTATCCCTGCCTGAAATGCAAGACAACTAGCAGCCAGATTTTGTTTTCGCTTTCTGTCCTATGCCAACCAACCATCTCTCAAAAGCCTACTACCCATGGTTCTGTTCCCGCATGGCCAGACTTACCGAACGGCCCCATACCAATTATTAAGCACGCCAATGGACACATAGCACCATGGTCGCTCTCAGTAGAGGCACCCCAACGAGCTGCTTCAGCGTCGAAATAGAAGCTAAAATCCGCAAAGACACCAAGAGGCCCTGCTCTATGGTTCAGAGGCTCTTTTCCTTCACCGCATCATTCGCTCTGCCATCTCGATTAACTTTACCTTTCTTTGGGTGCATATTTTGGTCAAGGCAATGATCTACACTTTTGGACACCATATGACACCATCATACCTGGACACATTTTCGGCTGAGAGACTCAAAAAAACAGTCTCAGCGGTAGCAGAAACAAATTAGAGAGGTCCCCAGCAGAGCAAGGGCGTATTCCAGAGAAACCTGGTCTCAACATGTCTCAACCATGCGAGGTAAAAAGTTCAAGGAAGGCCAGGAAGGCTAGTGGCACTGCTAGCGGCTAGCACTTTTTCGAGGAAGGAAACACCGAAGAAATACCTGAACCACTCCAACAGCTGAGTCACAAGGCAGTCACAACTGTTGGCGTCTTCACATGCCGTGCGTTTTGTCAAAGGCCCGGTTGTTGGCCGTGTTTTGTTTGTTGACCTTTGAGAATTGACAATAAATTCATCTTGTTCTGCAACGAATGGATCTCTCGGGGGCAAAAAAACATACATGCAAATCCTGGACACGAACTGAGTGGCCCATACTCTGGCAACATCTTATATAATTCATTGATGTCTGGCAGTCTCAAATTGCTACTTCAACTTTCATCAGTTTGCTTTGCACCATCCTGTTAAATTTGTTCTAGGACTGCTTAGCTCCTCCTTTTCCCAGTTTCTTTGGATCACACAATGAGAAAAAGAAACAGTGTTCCTTCCTATTCAGCTCTTCCCAACTAAAAAACTTTTCTGTTTTCTTTTTCACGTGTTTCTGCAAAACCTTCCCATCTTAGCGAACCCTTCCTATTAAGAATATTTTTATCTTCCACGTGACCACGTGTTTTTCTGCTCTCAATTTGTGTCTCTTCTTTCAGTTGTTTTTCTCTTTCTGCAGTTCTTTCCCGGTCTGCTGCATTTCTCTCCAGCAAGGCCACTTGAGAAAAGGAACGGTAACCAAAACAAGAGGGCCAAACCGCCAATTAAATCGAGTTTTTCCTTCGACAAATGCTCAGGAACACGGTGTCGACCTGGACCAGGCTGCCATGCGTCAATCTTCAAATGGACTGAAAGCTTCGGCCATCCGCGCAGCTGGGCCTCGAGACACTCATGCTTTGTCAGTTGCGAGGTTCTTCAAGATTTTCGTTCAGACCCTTCTGCCTTTCTCTTCTTTCTTTGAAACTCTTTTCCGCTGTCCCGAAACTTGTCTCTGCGGTTCGGCCTCTAAAGTTCCATACCTGCGGCCACCTGCAGTCACATCCTGGCAAACAAGATTTGGAAGTTCCAATGTCCCGATCAAAAAAGTAGCTCACACGGCTGAGCGTACACGGCTGATGTTCCCAAACGTCAGCTAGTTTCAGCCTTCTGTCAATGCCAGCTTGGTGTGGCAAAGGGGTGGCCACAGCCAAGCCCCTGCGAGCCAGGAGAATGTGTTTGATGATGTTTGACATTCACCTTGTTCCCATTCCAGCTCCTCCTGACTACCGTTGCAAAAGCAAGGCTCAAAATCGCCAACTAGAAGAGGCTGAAGAGGATGGCACGCGTGATGGGCGCGGGACGTCTTGCTTGGCTTTCGTTTGGCTTTGGATGTTTCATGGATGATTCCACGTTAGGTGGTGGATATTTTGGCGGTGGCCACGGGCTTTGGAACAGCTTGCTGTTCCTCGCTGAATCGAAATTGGTCACAGGGTTTCGATATTGATCTGCCGTCAGATATATTATAGGAAATTGATGTTCTTCGGAGCACGGTCGCTCGCCATCTGGGTGAGGTGATCGAGCGCATATTGTGGAAGATCAACCTCAGTGCTGATGCAATGCCAGAAGAATGCCATTGTCCCAAGGTGGCCTGGATGTTACCAGGGCGTTACCAGGCTTCTTCATGCTTGTGCATATAGGGTGGCGAAATGTTCCATTTTCTTTCTCGTCCTTCACATGGTCTTCTTGAACTCGGGGGCGAGTATGGTGTATGCTACGACGCGTCCCTTGTGCGTCGGACCCGGCTTCAACCCAGGCAGGCCACCCGTTGACGGGCTTTTCTCTTAGACTCTTTCGGGGCGGCTCCTCAAAAGATGAGCTCAAGGATGAAGATGAAGGTGATGAGAACAGGCCCTCGGCTCTTCCTTCTCGTTTTGCGTCCTTCTTCTTCTTGTCCTTTTTGCTCTTCTACATTCTAGGTGGGCCAGTGTAGTGAGTTCTAGGCGAAGGTTTCACGCGCTTTTAGTCAGTGTATAGTAAACTCTCCAAGGTGTTGGTCGGCGCTTGAGGCTCAAAGTTCCGTCGGGCCGACTGGTCTGAACACACGACAGATGTCAGTCTGAGCCCTGAGTGCGAATGCACGGTTTTAAGCTTGTTGCTGACACTCACTGAGGTCGTGCTTTCATCTGGGCCTTCTGTCGCTGAAAATCCAGTCTCCCTGACACGTGCAGTGGCTTCATTTTCCAAACACTCTCTATGTTTCTTCATTTCGTTCACCGCCTGCTGCGCGCTGATCAAAGTTATTGATGAATTGTCCATTGGCGGTGCGTCCATCGATTTCGCTCGGTGATTTGTAGTTGCTGGGCACGTAGGAGAATATGCGTTGTGGGGCCAAATGGCAGTAACCAAGATACAGATGCTGGCTTCCCCACCGTGTCCAACAGTATCATGTCCACACGCGACTGTGCAGCAGGGATGAGCTCATTGCTGATTGGAGTGGGAAGCAAACCGGGTTCTTCTCGTGAAAATACTTCAGTTGGTTTACAGCATAGTTCTGCCACGTTCTGCCTCATGATCCTCACATCGAGAACATGCATAGGAACAGACAGGCCAGGAGGCAGGTACGTCGATCCAGGAAAACAGCTTAATGCACCACAAAGCGAGAGCTCTCTCTTTTTGAGCAAACGTGCTATATACTAGCGTGAAAGTACATAAGCTTCGTTACTGGTTTGCCGACTCGTCCTGACGAAATGTGTCTGTCAATTGTTCAACGAATTCAACAAATGTTTAATATGCCGCTTGCTTCCTAACCTTGTGTCACCGGCCTGCCCTGCCAGGCAAAGCCGGAAGGACTGGTAGCTGGCGCCGTAGCAAATCTCGGCCCTCAATCGGCAAGCTTTTACTAGACATTTTCTGTGCTAAAAACCAGTATTGGCACCAAATGCTCCCATTGTCTCCACGAAATATCGTCATACACAGCAACAGTATAGCAAGCATGATGTGGGTGGGCCCATATGTGCGCCCTCAGGTTCCCACAGCTTCGGCTCCCCGAAGGCATTCTTTGGGCACTCAGAATTGTTAGGCCTCAAAACTGGAGTGTCTAGCGCTAGATGCAAAGGAATGACAGAATTCAGCAAGCACAAGTCTGGCAAACACCTGCAGAAAGGAGCGCCCAGGCACACCCAAAGTAAACGTGCGCAAACATGACTATGGCTTTGGGCTGGGAACCCTTTCACACCAGGTCACGCTGTACCAGAAATGGGTGGCGATCTGTCCGGCGGAATGAAACCTGAGCTTGGGCTGGATAATTTTAGAACGAAACGAAGGAAACATCCAACTTTGAAGCCCTGAACTCTTTGGGGTGTTGTGGTCCAACTCGAAGCATTCACTCAGCTTTCGGCAGTCAAAAAGCTTCACCGGGAGGTGGAATTTCTAGCAACAGAGCAGTCCACACAAACCCCTGCAATCATCGATCCATGAAGCACAGTTGGAAAAATCGTGGTCGTGTCCTGCGTCACAAGTTCGCTCCAAATGTCACGCTCCTCAGGCATGTCTGGAACAGGCGGCATGTCACTGTGGAGACATGTGAGAACTTTGCCGGGCTTTGGCTAAAATTACCTTACTTTGAGTGATCCCCACCATGACATTTCAACCGTTTGTTTGCATATATGTTTGCATGCCATGGTGGGAAGTTGGGAAGCCTGTTGTCATGGTCGAGGGTTTTGCGGTTCTCGATTTTGCTTGTGGGTCCTCGGGCTTGGGGTTGTTTCTTTAGTAGTGTTGGGGAGTTCGTGTCGCGGTGTCGCCTGCAGGGGTACACAGCTGGCATTCTATCCGAAGTGCGGCCCTGTAACCACCTGCCACGCAAAATGCCACCCACAGGTCATTATGTTGTTGCGTTGCGTTGTGTTGTGATGCGCGTCGTGTGGTGGCGGTGGTGGTTGTGGTGGTTGTGGTTGCGGGTTGCAGTCGGGGTTGTGTTTGTGGTTGTGCTGTGTGTTGTGCGTGGTATGCTGTGTGTTGTCGTTGTTGTGCTTGCGGCGGTTGTGTTGTTGTTGTTGTTGGTAGAAGTAGAAGCAGCTGCCCAACTTAGTTGTCACACGTTGTAAGTCTGGAATTTCGAAAGGGCAGGTTAGGGACACGGTTGAAGGTTTGAGGGAATGTTGGCTTCAGCTTCGTAAGTAGCTGGACTTGTTTCACTGAGGTCTGGGCTGGTCCGTCTTTTGGTGTTATTGAGGCGTTGTTCTGGGTCCAAAAACAACACAGCGCGGCTGCAGTCTTTGTTTCTAGGACGGGGTAGAGACAACAAGACCTCATGAGGGAATGTGAAAAAAAACAGCCACGGGGCTCCAACTATTGGTTCTAGGATGAAGTAGAGGTTCCTTGCTGTTGAGGTCAGGCGGCGCCCACTCCAATCTGGCACTTGCTGTCTAGGTCCGGGAGCATCACTGAGCCTTTTCTGTTGAGATCCAGGAGCACCCACTGATCTGGTCTTTGTTGTCGAGGTCCGGGAGCTCCCACTGTGATCTGGCGCTTGCTCTGTGAGGCAAGGAGGAAGAGAAGGAGAAGGAGAAGTTTGTTCCTCTTCTAGAATCTAACAGCCCTCACCTGACAGGTGGTGAAAAAAACATAGCAATGCAAGCGCGCGCAGACCGCAACATGGAACACTTTGCCTCGATGCCGAAGGACAAACCGATCTTCCCGACACCGTGACTGCCTCGCAAGCCAGGACTGAACCACATTCATGCAATGGTGTTAGTATATATATATATAATATTTACTTAATTAAAAGCATACATACGAATATATATATATATATACATAGAGTGACCTTCCAACAATCCGGTCTGGCTGGTCCTGCAAATCTGACAGCACCAAGATCATTCGTTTGAGCCCTGAACCGTCAAAGGCTTTGTTACACCAGGTTTGATCACCTCGGAATTCACAAAAACAGTAAGTTGTTGCTCGATCAGATTTGGTCATTTGGATTCATTTGGTCTGTGGTTTAGGCTTCAGCCGCCTCAACCCATCTCAGCTGGCCGCCAAGAAGGTAAAAGCCTGCGCAGCGCTGCTCGGTCACCTCCTCCAAGGGCCTCAAAACCACACAACCACCGCCGAACAACAAGTGATTAAATAACATCAAGCTATAAACACTGGTCGAACGAAACACGTGCGAACGCAATGCGTTGGCCAAAATGACTGGCCGCGAACCTGACTTTGTTCGTTCAGCGTTCCGGATCGAGATGACTGGCTTGCGCCCTGAGGCTTGGGCGTCACAGATGCGAGCGCTCGCTGACCGAGTTGGATCTTCCAGTCCGTGCGCCCTGAGAGCGAAGAGAGTCGACATGAGCAGCGGAGCAGCCCGCTTAAGTCACTCAAGGAGCGACCCCGAAATGGGGACGTTATTCCGCTAGGGCTTCGAAGGGCATAGAGGGAACGCCCGTGCCGGTGGCGTTTTCCGCGTTGTGCACCATATGCGCCACTCAAGAGCTGGCGACAAACATAGCGCAAAAGGAAAGCACCACCAGTGACAAATCGATGCCCCGCCATCGCTGATTGTCGCAGTGTTCCCAAAAGAGTGGGAATCGATCGAGTATGATACAGTATAGTATCTGATCCTGGTATAGGATCTTATGACTCAGAGAGGAAAACAGGTTCCAGTCTTTGATTTGCTTTTGTTGAAAAGGACGCATAAATTGAACAACGCATCCTCTCAAGATGTTGCTGCTATACACTTTGCTGTGCACTTGGCATTCTGTTGGTGAACATCTGACAGTTTTAGGCCTCCTGCATGTTGGAGAGTCGATGAGCTGGTCGTGAGACCACTCCCGAGGGGTCATGCGGGAGGGCAAGTCCCTTTTCGGTTGGGGACATAGAGGCGTTGTGCTTGACTGAGAAGCTGCCGCTTGACTGGTGTTTCTTTTCTTGGTGTTCGGTTGGTAGAAACATGTTTTGAAGTTTGAAGAGGGTCGGGGCTCATGAAGATTGTCATGTGTATGAGTTCGATGTTGCGTTCTCCATGTTGCCGGAATAGTCGGGCAGTTCTGTCGGATCCGAACTAGTCAGGTGGGAGGACATAATACAAAAGTTTGGGCCAAATTAAGTTTAGTGGGGGGGAATAGGAACAAGTAATTTCACTCAGGGTGTTTTTTTCCTCAGAAATGGACACCCTCAAAGTGCGAATGTTCATTGTATTTACATACATATGTTACATATACTAAAAATGTTTGCTTGGCTTATTTAAAAAATAAACTTTCATATGGTAAGGCCAGAATCCTTGATTAAAAAAAGAGTCCAAAACAAAAGGCAAAAAAGTCAACTGGAAAAGTCAAAGTCAACAAAATGTCAAATTGAAAAGTCAAAAAACAGTCAACAAAAAGTCAACCATAGACCACAGCTCGAAAAAGTAAAAAAAAAGTCAAAAAAAGTCAACCAATCGAACAAGTCAAAAAAAATGTCGAAAAAAAAGTAAAAACACATCAAAAAAAGTCGGAGAAAAAAAAGTTTGGATCTGGGCAAATTGACTTGTTTTTTGACTTTCTGAAACTTCCTGATTTGACTTGTTTTTGACTTTGACTTTTGGGATTGTTTTTTTACTTTTCTGTTTTATTTTTAAGTTTTAAGTGAAACAGTCTCTTTCCAATGAAAGTTTTGTGTGTGTGTCTTGTTTTAAATAATGCTTGGCACATCTGCAATGGCTATATGATTCACTCCTTTGCAACCACTGACAATTTCTGCTTAGCACATTTGCCATGACTGCAGTGATTAACAAGAAAATAGAAATAAACCAACAAAAGCAAAAACAATCACAAAATTCCGGACCCCAAGGCCACCAAGAATCTTATTAGTTTGTTTGACTCGAACACCATTATAGTTTTTGTTTATATGTTTTTTTGTCACTACATGACTGCAACACGACAACTTCATGTTCATCTGCAAGATTTGGCCGCAAGCCCTGGGCCTCATGGATGTTGGTCTTGTTGCGGCGGTAGTCCGTAAAGTTTCCCTTCTTAGGGCTAAATGCTTTCGCAATGGGATGCGTCCCCCCAAACATTTCGTCATAGGTTGCCGATGGTCCGGACAATGGACCTGGGCCACTGGTGGCCATTTCTCAATCACGTGGGCTTGGACTCTGCTTTGAAAGGGTCACAATGACGGAAAGCAACAAAGAATTAGGACATGTTCTTGCACGTGTCTTTCTTGATGGTTCCAAGCTTGTGTTTTTCCACGATATTGCTGTCGGCAGGCCTTGGGCACAAAAATTCACTCAAAATTGACCTGGAGAACGGTCGAACATATGGTATGCTACAGTCTCCGGACCATGTGTGGTTGCACCTTAGAAGGGTTGCTTCCCGTCATGTGCCGGGGCACCTTCATTGTCACTTGTGTCGTCATAGGTGTTGCTGCTGGCTCTCTTCTCACATGCCTCTTGGCAAATGCTTGTGGCTCATAAGCCATATCTCTACCAGGCTCCCAATCATCTGTCCAGCCCATGGCTCAATCTACACCTACAAATATGATTTGCCGGAATCTGGAGCTCAACAGCTGCTCCCGCGTGCCATTACAACCTGATTGCAAACCTACGCAAACAGAGGGGGTGGGCTAAGGACATTTCACGGTCATTGTGTTTCGATGTCTGTCGCTTCGAGCTTCGTTTTCAGTTTCATGTTGGCTGTGAATATATCTCTTTGACGGTAAAGCACATGCTCTTTACCCGCACGCTAACAGGAAGGTTGTGGCTAAGAGCAGGCGTTTCACATGCTAGGCCTGCGCCTGTGCAATGGGAAATGATCTAGCAGCAAAGCTCGCGCGAGTGTGCTGGAAGGGAACCAGGGCGATAGACTGCGACACATGTGTTTGTCTCATGAAATGCTTTCCATCTTGGAAAACAACGCAAAAACAAGAAGCTACTAGTAACAAGTGCATTACTAGTAGTAACAAGAAGCTACTAGTAACAAGTGCATCGCTACTAGATCGATGCCACAAGAAAGCGACAGCGAATGGACTCTGGGATGGACTCTACCAATGGCTCTATCGACACAGCTCGCATTGAAAAGCAGCGTCCTCAAGCACCAAGCATCAGGGTTTACATTTCATGTTCCAAACAGTAGTAACAAGGGCATCGCTACTAGGAACAAGTGCATCACTACTAGCAACAAGTGCCTTACTAATAGTAACAAAAAGCTATTAGTAACATGTTCCAAACAAAGAACCATTTCACACATGGGACTCGGAGAACCTTCCAAACAGAGTCTATAGCTTCTTATTGTTTCTACTAGCAAACATTGTTACTACTAGTCACGGCGAACAAAGTGATGCACATCATGAAGCACATGATGCACAGCTCTTGATAATTCAGCGCTCTGAAGAAATGTTGTTGCAAATAGCGTGGCACTTGTTACTAGTAACAAGTGTTTCTTTTCATTGGTGTTCCTTCTTTGCTTGATTTGGTTCTTTAAATCAGTGAATTGACTATGTAATTATTTTTTGTGTGTGTAGCCCGAGTGGCCCTCACCCTTCCTTCATTAAGTAGGCGCCCGAAGTAAGGAGATAAGCTTCCTTGAAGAAGCGTTCGCACTATTCATTTGGCTCCTAGATTTTAAGGGAAACAAACATAGCAGGCGGGTGCGAACATGTTTCAAAGGTCTGAGAACGCAAAGGCACCAAATGACACCAAAGTATTCTTCACTGTATCGGATATACTTCAAGGACACATTCTTGCCATTGGCATCTATCGGACATGTGCCGAGAAGAAACACAACGCAACTAAAAAGCAAAAATACAACCTTGTTCCTAGTAGTAAGAATGCTCCTAGTAGCGATGCCAGGAGCCCCTAGTAGCGTCCTTGCTACTGCAATGCTTTTGAACGCAACAGTTGACAACTGTGGCTGTTTGTCGTCTGCCTGTGTACGGCCAAAAGGGTGGTGGAGGAAGGCAGGGCTTTCCGGGGCGTGAACCTGAGAAACCACGGAATTGGCAAAGCCAAAGAGAAACAAAAAAGCATTGCTGCTACTCATAGCAATATAGTTATACTTTTCTAGATCCGGTTTTCTCTGAATTTTTAAGCAAGCATCTTGAGATCCCACACGCACACACTGAGTCTTCAGATTTCGACCCCCCGAACTGCCCGAACAAGTGAGTTGATTCTGCAGAATGGTCCCGGCAAGTGTGTTCTGATTTGGGCGGAACTCTGACTGGTTTTCATAGAATGCTCTTATTGAAGTGTTCTGCTTTTTCCGTGGGGTTCCTCTTCTGAGAGCCTCACTTTTTTGCCACCCATGACTTGGCTTCTGTGTGCTCTCGATCTCCAATTCTCGACCGAGGCACTCTGTGACTTGCCCTCGTCGTAGTACGAGCAAGGCTCCTAAGGCAGTGCGGCGTCACCAAACAGCGGCAGTGCTTCGCCTCTCCGACACGTTTGGTAAAAATCTTACACCACCGTAGACCCCAAACAAAGGAGAGGGACAACAACGAAGCATTCCCAAGTCCACTTTTTGAGACATCAACAAGAAGGGAGACAAGACCGGAGACAAAAGGAAACAGAAGGGAGACAAGGCGGACACGATGACCCAAGGCGGACACGATGACCCACAAGAAGGGAGACAAGACCGGAGACAAAGGGAGACAAGAAGGAAGACAAGGTGGACACAATGACCAACAAGAAGGGAGACAAAGGGAGATTTGGGACACCACCAGTGACAGCGGACACCAGCAGCGACAGACCTGGGAGACAAATGAATAGAAATGCAGCATGGCCAAAGGAAAAGGGCGAACACCAGCAGGGACAAACCTGGGAGACAAATGAATAGAAATGCTACATGGCCAGCGGAAAAGGGCGGACACCAGCAGTGACACAAAGGGCGGACACATCTTAAGAAAGAATTGAGAACCCCTAACAGTAAACTGTTTGGGGAAAAACATTATGGTAACCTGGTTACTACACGTGAAACGATTCTCAAGGAGGCTTCTTGTTACTAGCTTCAAAGACCTAGTAGCTTCTTGTTACTACAGGTGAAATGATTCCCATAGTACTTTGCCTCTCCGACACGTTTTCGGTTTGCCTCTTGAGGCACTGGGATCAGCGGATTGCCCAGGGACTTCTTCATCTTCGGCTCCTTAAAAAGCTCACCAGAACAACCACCAAAGCTTTAGGCATTAGACACAAACCCCTGGCGACGCTTTGGGGCACTGTTTTCTGGCCGAAGTGGTAAAACAACGTGCATTGAAAGGCACAACTTTCAAAACGACGTTTGCTCCTAGTAGCGTCCTTGTTCCTAGCAGTAAGGCACCAGGAGCCCCTAGTAGCGATGCCCTTTGCTCCTAGTAGCGTCCTTGCTGTGTGCTGAGTGCGCTGTGCGACAAAGGTGGGCTCCCAAACGTCATGCCTTTCGCATTCACAGCGTGCAGCTGTGCGTGCTTTGCGGTTTGCCTTGGGCAAGAAATCGATTCGGGCCTTTGGCCGGATCCTTCTTAGAAGGACTGATCGATTCACGTTTGAGCAACCTTCACTTCTTGGACTTGGTAAATCTCCGATCCTCAAAAAAAACAATGTGCTCTCTGCGCAGGTAAGACTGTGCTTAGTGTTGTGCCATATAGTGTTTTCTGATCAAAAATTGAGCAGGTGGCAAACAGGACCTGTTGGGCATAGCTTGGTGTAGATTGTCGCATCTGTGGCTCGCTGTTCTCGCAAGAGCTCAGCAATTTGAGCTCGGCCCTCTTTGGTGTAGTCCTCAAACGGTCATTAGCTGTGCCTCTAACATTGGTGAACGGCAAAAAGGTGCTACGAACGGGGCTGGCCGTACTACTAGGAGCATAGAAGCTAGGGGCTCCTGGCCGTACTACTACAAGGGCAGTAGGAGCAAGGACGCTACTAGTAGCTCCTGGCATTTCTACGCATGGCAGCGCAAATGAGTTTGTCCTTGTCGTCCTCGGAGGAAGACAGTGCCACGCAAAGTGGTGTTCTCCCATGGCCGTCGATGGCATTTGGATTGCAGTCTCTGAACTCCAGCAAGGCTTTTGCAATCTCCACATGACCCATCAATGCAGCGATGTGCCTCAGGCATCACAAGGCATCACAAAGCATCACAAGGCTTCAAGAATACTCTTAGAAGAACCATCTGATTTGTCACTCAGTCGCAGTGGCGTCCTCCCGAAGTCATCTCGCACATTTGGATTTTCCACAGCATCCAACCACATTTCAAACTCCTTGCTGTCTCCGTTCCTCAGCAACTAGTAAGGCACTTGTTACTAGTAGCTTCTTGTTACTACTAGTAAG